AGGTTTCTCCCACTCTCCAGGATGTTTTGCAGACAGCTCTGTTCTTAATTCTATGTTATTGCTATTATATTTTAATGGCTGGGTTCAGACAATGCAATAACCTGAAAGCAAGAGCTGAATGTGAATTATCACTGAACTGTAAGTTATTATTGAAAAGTAGGTTAACATGTTGTCTGAACCCAGCTGTGCTAACCATGATTTGTTAACCACAAAGGATGCATGATTAGATCCCATGTTTTTGTTGGGTAAGAACTGTGGCTTATTTAGCATGATCTGTTATCTCAGGTGGGTTCAGACAACATAACTCATGCTTCAATGACAATCCATGGTTCAATAACCCTTGAATATGGATTGTTATAACTGAATGCAGTCAATGTGTTCTTATTTGTCCTCAGAGGTCCTACTTACAGGAGAAAGGCAGTTTATACATATCTGAATAAATAAAACACAACTGCCATTTTCACAAACAGATACTTGTGTCCATCCTTTAATCTTTCACAGACATGTTTAGATTTCTCCTTAGAAATTATTTTTTGGGAATCATGTCCATTATTTTATGCAATGATGAACAAAAACTGTTTATGGAATGACAAACAAGCTGCTGAAAAATTTAAGCACATGACCCAAGATTTCTAAACTTTTCCCAGGCTGAGCTGCAAGCAGATAAGAGCAGTAATTCCAAGGCTCAGGCAACAACTCATGATCATGAGATGAAACAGAGTAGTCTTTAAAAGGTTGCAAAGCATCCTCAAATATAAATAGGCAGATGGTTCTCCATTTGGAAGCTTTTTTCTCCTCAGCTTCAGGGCATGTGGGTCAGAAGACAAGGGAATAAAGTGCACTACAGGGTATAAGATGCCAGGACCAAAATTGCCACAAAAATAGACATCTGTCATGATAAAAATAAGTTTTTGGCATTCTTTGTCAGGCCCAATAGATACACTTTTCTGGAAGAGATTGACCAAGCTTAGCAATAGCTTGTACTACCATAGAAAGCTACACTACCCACCTTTGTTTCTTTCCAGGCAGTGCTCCTATGCATTACCCAGCTGTGCAACAAGCAGAAATTGAGCACAGGAAAGTTTTGACCCCAAGGGAGTAATTTCAGAATCACTCTTATATGGAAATATAGGGCAGGACTAGAATGAAGCATAAGGAAGTGATTTCAAGACTCTAGACTGCCTTTCCTAAACTGATCTTGTTGTGAAAAAGTATGTCTACAAAGCTTTCCAACACATAATAAGCTGAGATAAGAGCAAGACTTTTGCTTGTGTTTGCAGTCCCTTTTCTTATCCCTTACTGAGGAATCAAACTATGAAGACTGTAGTTAATCATGCTTTCCCATTTCATCCAAACTGGGGAACTATGACTAACAGCTTCAGAACAAGCCAGGATATTAAACTGTGGTTTAAAGTTTGTTTAATACTTTGTCTTGCTCTGAAACCATAGCTTCCCAGTTTGGACAAAATGGGAAAATATACTTAATGAGAGGCTCCATAGTTTAAGCGTGGCTCACCTAAGCAGCAAAGAGGCTTTAGGTGCAGGCAAAGTCTTGTTCATATCTTGGCTTATTGTAATAATCTGAGTACACATTTTGCAAGGGCTGCAAGTTTTGCACTGGCTTTCAGCCTGTTTCTGGTTGTAATTTAAACTGCTTTCCATTTGAAAATATAAATGGTAAGAACTAAAACCCAATAGGAAAAAAAGGATGTTAAACATGTGATCATTCACTGATTGTGACGGATTACATCATAAATATGTAATCCTCTTAGTTTCACGCATTTCAGCAGAGAGAAAATTGCAATGTGACAAAGAAATAGTTGCTCTGACGTCCAAAGGCTCAAAAGAATGAGCTCTTACACTCAGAGATACTCATTTCATTAATAGCTTCAAAATAAGTGGCATTGATATGGAGCCCAGAAGATCCTACCCATGCACCTCCCCCCTCTGCAAGCTCCATTGCAGGACTAAGACTAGCCCATCCATTTGCAACAGGAAGAGAAGCCACGTTCTTGCTTATAGGGAGCTGCCATTGTGAGTGTGCTTGGGTCCAGGTGGTGGGAAAAGAAAGAACTGACCCAGCGGAACCTGCACAGCAGCACCAAGGCTGCACCTTACAGCCCAATAACACCAAGCCACGTGGAGGACCCAGGGGTTTGGCCGGGGGAAGAAGGCGATTGGGGTGGGAACAGCTATAGCTCGTCCCTGTGGTGGTCCACCTGAGACCCATGAAGCAAGGTCTTCTGGGACGGGGTGGGGCAGGATGATACGATGGCTATCACTGATTTCCCCACTCACCCTTACCTGGTCATACAGTGGACAGAAGCTAGTCACTGGATATCAGGGCTGAAATTTTACCTTTCAATTGGCAAGCAAAAGGGGGCAGGGGTTTTGCCTTCCCCATGCACGTTCAGGCCCTGGAAACAGGTTGATGTATATGGGATTTTTTGGGTAGAAATTTATTTTTTAAGTTACTAATAGCAGGTAAGGGTGTGAGAAGCATTGGGCTGGATCAATTTGGGAGGGGGAGGGATGTTACCTCATGGTGGGATCCTCTTAAGGATCCGGGGGGATGTGGCACCAAGACCAGGGCAGTATGGTGACCGTGGACTTGCCACATCCAGTCGCAAGAAAAGGGCTTCAGATTAGAAGTCCGTGTCATGGCAGAGCTCTGGCACAGCCATCCACCAACACTTTGGGCAGGGAGGGCAGGCAGGAAAACTGGACCGCCTGCTGACAGGACCTGTGCTCTGCCAATCATATTCAAAGTGAATAAAGTTGTGGCCACTTTAAGAACCAATAAAAGTGGTGTCTCTGGTTTGCTCCTTTGTCCACTGAATGGACATAGTTAGATTTTTTACCACCCAACTGTATCTACATCGATGTTTTAATGTCATTATCACTACTGTGTATCTTCTATTTCATTCCACCCAGACCTCAGAGCTAATATGTACCCTACACCCGCATGTGTGTGCGCGTATGCATATGTATATCAAGGGGGTCGGGTCCATAGAAGCTTGTGCCATAATAAACAACTTGGTATGGTCACTATGCATTAATCCATTTATGAGGTTAGATCCAGTACGTATGCTAGCTGAAGTTTGCTAGTTTGAAGGGACTTTTTCACTCTCTCTTCACCCCTGCAGTCATGTATTCCACACAAAAATCTGCTTTGGAGGATTTCCTGGTCTTCCAAAGCATATTTTGAGGGTTTTGTTTTTGCTTTTTAACTCAGGAGAAGGAATTTCATATTATCTTAGTATTGGACAATGGAGCATGGAAAGAGAAAAGGGTTTTTTCTTTCTTTCCAAATTTCAGTTTTCAAAACTTCATGCCAATGCTTCGGCAACTGACTTAGCCAAACTTTATGCAGTGAGTTTAGAAAACTTTGGCTTCAATCAAAAGTCATTTAATCTACAGTGGCCTCTTTGATGCAACATAGTCTGGAACAAATGATTGTATGGTTCTGGTTTTTGCAAGTAAGCAATTAAAAAAGAGGGACTCGGGGTGCAAGAATAATTAGGAACTTGGCATACCTTGGTAGAGATCTTCAACTACAGGTGGTATAGAAATGAAATGAAATAATATTCAATTATCATAATCATAACTAACTTAGCACCAATGATATCATTTGATGCAGCTAAAGGGAAGATGTTACTATGGAAGGTTTTACGAAGGGACATATGTAAATAAAAAGTACATACATGTGTAACTGGTGGGCTTATTGCTCCAGAGTAACATCAAGAATGAAGTACTGACAAGCCAGAGGTTGCTAAGGGTAAGCAACATAAATGAAGGAGAGCTCAGAGTCATGTTCCATTCACCACTTCATAGCAATTATGAGTTCAGATTGCGGCAGTGGTTAAGGCATGGGCTGATAATAATTGTAGTGCAAGCACAGAAGGGTAGAATTTAAACAAGCATTGTCCTTCTAAAGTTTAGAATCTAAACCACAAAGAAATTACCAGGCAAGAACACAGAGCTTGGAAAACTTTTGTTAATCATGCCTCTGGCAAAGTATTTCTGAATGTGGTTACCTCATTACGGTTGCTCTAATAGAGAAATGCTTTGGAAGAAGTATCAGAATGGCTGAGGGGAAGTGTGAAATTTGCAGGCTCTTAGGCCATCCTACAAAAGTGAGCATGAAAGTGTTTCATATGATTGGGACTATGAATGATATTCATTACTATGAAAAAGGTCATTCTGAGGTCTGTTCATAGTTTATTTTACACCCAACTCATTCATGGATACAAAACACTGTTCCCAGTACTCTACAGAGTAGGGTCCTTGTTTCAGCAAAAGTATTTGAGAATCTTCTGTGGTGAAGCTTGCACCATATTCCCTCCCAATTAGGAGGTTCTTTGGAAGTCTCGTGTCTAGTTCAGGAGAGGCTCATCAGATCTCTCCTGTCCTGGAACAGTCCCCTCCACCACCAAATGTTGACCTCCCATTCTCAAAGGTACCTTTATTATAGCTGCTTGGGCAGGGAGGGGATTGGGGCATAATAAGAAATGTGTTTGGGGCTTTTTAGCTTTCCTTCTGAAAAGGAATGAAAGAAAAAGAAATCACACAAGGGGCCAACTCATCACCAAGTATGATCAATGTGTTCCTGTTCATTTTTGACCCTATGCGTGAAAGAGCAGAGGACCTACATTCCTGTACCAGAAACTCATTTTTGTGCATGTGCACCACTGATGCTTATTGCTCACATCCATCATTCCATTTTGGGAGTCGGAGCTCATGGCACACATTCAGTAAAATTCTAATTATCCCCCACTGCTGTTAACAACTTTCAGTTTGATCTCCATATAGCAGATGCAAGACCTAGTACAGCAGTTATCAGGACTGTTTCTCTTACACTCACCTCAGTTTGGGATACAGCTCAAGTGGTATTCAGCTCAGGAATATTCTAGACATTTTTGCCCTAGACAATGAAGTCTCTCCTCAGGTTAATTCAGTGAATAAACATGCTAACTAAACACCATTTATTACACACTGACCTTGAAGCTGGCGCCCTTTGAACAAATCTTTTGTTTTGCTTGGATGAGCCCTGGCACTGTTATCGCACTTTGGCTGTTCGTATCTGAAGGGAAAATGGGAAGAAGAAAAGACAACAAGGTAAAGTCAATTTGATTTGTAAAATCTATCATTTCAAAACCTGCGGTCACACTGAAGTTCAGCACAGAGCATGCACACATATTTTCTCCAAAGTCATAGCCACACATGCACACAAGTGCCAAAAAAAGCACATGCCAGAAATCCACTAATTACGATTCACACCATAGTTTGAGATAAGAATTGCTGAGCCTTTCAGAAGAGCTTTAAAAATGGGTTCAAATTGCACTTGCTTTGATAATTGTTTGCAATTTTTTTTTCAGTTGGGTAAAGTCAGGATGCAACTATTTTAGCTTTTGAATTCACAGCAAGCTCTTTCAAATAATGTGTTAGGGCACTAGAAAAGCACAGCTGCGGATGTTTCTTAATGGTCATGTTCACATGCCCAGTTCCTTGACATTTTTCAGAAAGCTGCTTTCCAGACTCAAGCCTTGAATATTTGATTGCCTTTAAAATGCCACAAACTCTTTTTGGCTACTGTTCTGGAATTTGCTTGATTTTATTAGGATAACTGGGGCGTGCATTCAAAAGTCACTATTGTGATAGGAAAAAATGCTTGTCTAAATTCATACTCCTTAGCTCACCTCCTACAGACCAAAGAGATCACTAACACACAAGCTCTATATTTTGAGGTATAAATGCCCATGCAGTAAGATCCAAAAGTTCAGGATCCGGAACTACTGCTGCAATTCATCATGATAATGTATCTCCGTTACCTGCAGCTTTCAGATAAAAGCTGAAACAGATTGCCACAGGGATGAATTTGAAGATGCACCACTTTCCATGGTTCTGTATTATGTGTTCTTATCACTCAAAGGGCTCGTGGAAGTGCAAGAGACTCACAGGCAATGAAAGGAAACACGACTTCTTCTTGCAATTTGGGTATCAGCATATAGCTGATCCACTTGCAGTTAGTATGAGATTTGCTTTTCCTTTGCAAACATCACTATAAGAAATAAGACTCGTGAAGCAAATGACAGATGCTTTAACCCTCAACTGATTCCTAATTAATTGGGAGGAATGATACCAAGCAACTAGGAGTAATGTAATCCTCTACAGGGAACAAGACCACTGCAGATGTTTTTAAAGAACATCTTATCTCAAATACACAATGAGTGCAGAGGAAATGCCTCAGCTCATGACAGAGCCTGCTGTTAAACTAACATCAGCTGCACAGCGATGCAACAGTTTAGTGACTTACATGACAAACCACAAGAGGTTGATTAGTTATACCAGAATTCTGAGACTGAAGGCACAATTGGCAATCTGAGAAACTGTCCTAGGCACCACCACAAAATGGCTGACATTGGAGGCATGGCAAAGGACAAATGACTTGTCCCATAAGCTGAGTACAGGGAGAGGTTGAGTTTGCACCCCAACACACCGAACAAATCCCTTGGTTTCACACTTTTCAGCATCATCAAAAACCTATTTCAAAGAAAGCTCAGCTGCCAGTAAGAAAATGTGTTGTTTTTACTGAAAAAGTGAGAGAGTAGAGCACCTTGGTGGGCCCCCAAATCTTATCTGGGGGTGCACCATTGCCCATGGGCACCATTTTTCCTACTCCTGAACTACACTGACTGCAGAAATACCACAGTAACTAGAAAACCACCCAAAACCAATTGATTGTACTTCATTGGCTTCATATTTTTCTGTAGAATACCTTCTTGGGAGATCTCTTCCAGTTTTCAGGTACATTACAACTGGATGGATGGATGGAAAAGATATGCACAATTCATTTTTTTTCTATCACATAGGGACTTTTGGAAATGCAACCTGGAAAGCAGAAATGTTTGAGGACTTCAGATGTTGGGAATATCCATAGGAAATGATCTGATCCACACCTTCTAGATTAATATGTGGACCCCAGAATAATTGTCCTTCATATTTTACACTTCCTGGATTTTATGATGCAGTTCTCAATTTAAAACATGTACCTAAGGCATTTAAAATAAAATATATCTATCAGCATGTGTTTTGTGAGAAACTATGTTTAGAAATATGCAGAAGTATGTATTTTTATGGAATGTTCATGCTATTTTTAAAAAACTTCATGTTTATGCAGAAATGGGAGCCAGTGTGGTGTAGTGGTTAAGAGCTTGGGACTGGGACTCAGACGATCTGGGTTCTAGTCCCCACTCAGCCATGCAGCCAACTGGGTGACTTTGGGCCAGTCACAGACTCTCAGCCCAACCTACCTCACGGGGTTGTTGTTGTGGGGATAAGATGGAGGAGGAGAATGATGTAAGCTGCCTTGAGCCCTTTGTAGGAAAAAGGCAGGATATAAATCAAATAAATAAATAAATAAATAAATAAAATGTGCGGCAACTGCAAAATGAACATGGACTGGAAAGAGGCTGCTCCATCCTTACTGGAATACAATTGCAACCGTCCTTTCGAAATATATATGATGGACTCCTCTTGAGCTTTGAAGCTTGATATGAAAACAAAAACTTGGTAAAAAGAATACAAAACATAAGCATGGAGTGACAGCTTGAATGGAGAAACTGGGAGTAAAGGGAGAACATGGGTGTGGGGGGAGTGGGGTATCACAGCAAGGTTTGAGCAAGATGTGATGTGACTATAAAAACTCACTGTGGGTGTGCATGTCTTCCTGCCTGGCTTGGTGACTTTTTGCATGCCATGGGACTCAATAATGTAAAGAATTCAGTCCTTTAACATGATGGATATGGCTTCTCCTCCTTTTGATTAGGTATTACTACCCAGGTGATTCGATTTTCCAATCCGTCAGGGCAATTTGGTGGATACTGTACACATGTGACACCATTAATGATTCTCCTGAATAGGTAAGCTCAGAGCTTCATCCACCAGCACTACATTACCTGATCTTTATCTTTTTTCTCCCTCTCTTTCCTCCTCCACTCCGCTTTTTGTCCTGATCTGTCCATTTGTGATTAAATGTGTTGGCATCAGAGATCATATAATAATATGATTGACTGACTGACTGATTAGCTTTTTATACTTTCCTTCATCCAATGTCACCAAGGCAATATACAAAACATATTTTTAAATATAATAAATGATTAAAATATAAAATGTAAAAATACAATATAAATCTGGGTTGATAAATGTCTGTAGGATGGTTAGATAGTTATGACTTTCTTTATTCTTTAATTCAAAGAAAAAGGAGATTTTAAATAGTTTTTTAAAAGGTTTCTTTTCAAAACCATTAGAACAAATCATAGCCTATCTTTGATGCTATGCTAACCATCAGAATAATGAATGGCTGGATTGAAATAAACAGTCCTGCCTCCATTGTTTAATTTATCTTCTCATTGTCTGAGAGAAACTAGCATTTCTGGAACTGGCCACCAGCCCATCAGATACAGCTTGGTCCATGAAGGTGCAATGCAATTTCATGCTCAGGTAAGTACGTGTCCTCTGGGTGAAAGAGACACCTTCAGAGTAAGAAGAACAGAAGCTGTTTTGATGGCAAGCTCTGGATGAAGTGGATAGTGACTGCTGATACATGACCTCTTTTAACCAGCCAAGTCAAGAATGAAAGAGAAATCTTTGAACTGGCTGCACTAATGTAGCATCTGGCAAACAGCCTGATCTCAGATTAATCTGATACCCTACTCTGCAGTCTTTCCCTCACCCTCTCCCTTTACCTCCAGTTTCTCCACTGTAACCATCACTCCATGCTCATACTTTCTGTTCTTTTTACCAAGTCTGGATTGATTAGACTACATACTCTGCACCACAACTAAGTTTTATGTCCTACATAGAGATGGATAAGAAATTCGTTTCAGCGTTTATCCAGTTCATAACCTCTGGAACTGAATGTGGACTTGAAGGTAATCTATGCTCTGCAATTCATCATTTTTTGACCCTGTGATGCAACTTGTGCAACAAAAATGCATTAAAAAGCATATATTTTAAAAAGTACATAAAATGTGTATGGATAGAAACACTGTAACCAATGGAAGAAACATGTTTATATTTGTAAAAATGTGCATAGCTGATGCATACATTTGGAAATGCCGGTGAAAACATGCACATTTTCATGTAAAAAGAGCAAATCTTAGACTGGCACAAGTCAGCACAAACTTCAAATGCTTGGGTTTTGCCAAATCCCATGACTCTAGTCCTATGCTATCTAGCACAAATACTGGCAAACACATAACAAGTTGAAGGAGGAGCCAGAAGTACAAGTTTTCTTTTAGATGCTCTGAATGGCACAGATTTTGTTCCTGTTGGGTCCAAACCCCATTAGTATTAGCAAAGCAACCACATCATATTCCTTCTGGTCATTCTGTGGGCCCTCTGTCTTTCTGTTTTTGAGTAGAAGTGGTGGCACGTCTTGAGTAGAAGTGGTGCTTTAGTAACTGCAGCATGTATTATCCTCTGCAGTGTATACTACAGCAACACTCCACAGTCAAGAGAGCTGGAATCTCTCTCTCTCTTTCTCTCTCTCTCAGTAAAACTGAGAGAATAAAAAAACTGAGATGTCAGATACCTGAAGCACATCCAAGGATTACATTAAAGTGTTTGTGGAGATATAGTGCATCACATGAAAATGTCCAGGAGGGATGGAAGAAAATGAGGAGAAATGGGGCTTAGAGCTAGCTTCTCAATGTTAAGAATTCTTATTTAGCATACATAAATAAGCCATTTAAAGTCATTTAAACAGCAAATGAAGACTCTCTGGGCTATTGAATGACTTGATAAGTCAAAGATGTCATTTGACATGGTGAAGAATAACCACCACCAAGAAGTCATCTAGTAAGGACAGAAAGCCTGCAATGTGCAGGAACAACCCAATAATGAGCACAAACGTTCAAAGCTAGCCATATAGTCTATAGCAGCAAAGCCTTCACAGAATTTTCCTACCCCTTAAAAACGTAAAACACCCTTGCCTTGCACCATATTAGACTGTATGATACAGGGTAGTGGTACCACAAGACTCTGGAGCATTTGCCATTTCAGTTCTGAGCACAGGCAGACAGAAAGGGCCAGCCATTTGCCAGATTTGATCTTTGATCCATCTAGACCAATATTATTCACACTGCCTGGCAGTGGCTCTCCAGCATGGCAGATCATCCCAGCTGGAGTATGCCAGTTCTAGTCCTACCTAAAGAAGCCAAGGACTGGACATGGAATTATTTACCGAACTGCAGCCTTCCCCCAGCTCAGCTCATCTCAGACAACAAAAGGCTATTCTGGTTTTCTAAAATTCACTGTCCAAAAGCATTGCTTCCTATTGGAGTGGGTGTGGGGACATGGGGAGAACGGTCCATCTTTCAAGCCGTGTGTGCTTGCATTACATTACATTACATTAAACACACTGCCTTGGTTTCTGGTTAGCTTCCATAAGAGTATTCCCAACAAAGCCAAGCCCATATTGTTTCCTTTGGAAAGTGATACTTTGCCTGCCTGCATCTGCTAGAGAAGATTTGCAAGCCTTTACCATGTTTCTGGCTCGGCTGAAATTCATGAACTTCAACTCACTATTTGACAACATGTTAAAAATACACTTCTCCTTTCTACTGGTTCCAGCGCTGTTGCTCCCTTGAAGTTAATCATGTGAAAATGGACTGTGGGGACTGTTTCTGGGAAATAATGGAAACATTGCTGAGGCTGTATTTCTTTTCTTAGAGGGATGTTGGCAGATCTCTTTTTTTCTCGATTGCTAGATATTGCAGTTTCTATCTTGTGTCTTCTCAGAGCAACCCTGTGAGGTTTCGGAATGCTGTTCCAATTTTCCTTAGGGAACTGAGGTCAAGAGATGGTGACTCGCACAAGAGAACACGCAGAGCCCAGGAGTAAAGTGAAATAGAATTCAAGTCTGAGCTTTGTCTTCCTAACATCCTAGTCTAACTGACAGATGCACTGGTAGAATCCTGAATTAGTTAGAGCTATAGTGGTCTTATTGGTATCAGTGGGATTTAAGTCCTGTTGATTAAAATTGGTCTGCTAAGAGTTTGACTCAATCCTGGTTTGACTCAGTGATCTAGTCAGAATCTGCATTTGGGTACTAAGGATGTCATCTTTCTTTTAGCAACATCAGGGGCAAAATTTCTGATTTTTCTCTTGATTTTAATTACTCACTATTTTATTTTATTTATTTATTAAGACATTTATATGCCGCCCCATTCACCGAAGCCTCGGGGTGGCTCGCTATGGCACCTTTAGCCTTGTCTTCTTACTGACCCCACCCCCGTCCCACTGCCCACTGAAATAAAAATGAATTCATTACTAAACTCAGCACTTCAGCAAAAATTCAAAGCTTTTAAAAGTCTGGATCTCAACTTTTCAGTTTATGACATTTTGTTTATGTGGCATTTTTAGCACATTTATTGCATTTAGAAATATTGTCACATTTTGAGTGCATGTTAATTGTTACAATGTTTATAGTCTCTGTTGTATGGTCTTACAGTCACTTTAAGAATTTCATTTGATATTTTCTTATGAGGTAATTAAACTGGTAGTGGTCTGAGAATGATGTTTGCTTAATGTGATGTATATCAGCCAAATCCTAATATAATCAATGTTGGTATTAGATGTTGTTTTTAAATCACACGAGGCATGAAATAACATTCAGGCTGTCATATTACCCTTTCCTGTTCTTTGTTAATAATCTCTGTTCCATCACAAAACAAGGCATTTGCCACCTTGCAGAACAATGTCTTACCTTGTCGATGTACCAGGGATGGGGCGTCCTGTGTCAACAAGGACACACCAGCAATATCCTGTTGAAGGATGACACTGCACTGGTTTGTAAAGCCCCCCATTAGCACACTCGGGAATGAACACATTGTCTTTTTGGGGTTGTTTAGCTTCTTCGAGTGCTGACTGAAGTTCTTGGTCACAGGATGCTGCTGCTGGGAAAAAATCAAGGAAACGTGGACATTACCCTTGAACTGATTGATCTAATCTGATTAGAAGATTAACTAAAAAGCCAAAGGAAAACAGAGTCTGGAGATATGCTGCCATTACTCCCTTCTTCCAGTCTGGGGTGGGCCATTATACATTGGCAAGAAGGAGGAAACACATCACCTGAAATGACAAGAGCTACATGGAGCCATTGTGGCAAAAGCTAGAACCACCATGAAAGCAAGGGGCACAAGATGTGGGATACGATGAGGCAATGGCAGTGCCACCCCTGCCTCGTGCTGGGCCTGCTTCAGACAAAATGAGAGAGAAAGGCATACTGGGGAGAATTCCTTTGTCATATTCTCAATAGTTCAAGTGTATCAGCTTTGCAAAAAGGGACTTGGCATTTGCCCCTGATAACACAATGTACTTCTTTTGTGCAAGGACACGATGGAAAGCAAAATCAGAACACTTTCAAAAAACTCAGATCTCTACCTTTTAAGAGCAGGCATTTTAAAAACAGACATTTCTACATTTCAGTCCAGTGCTAAAGACTGTGGTTTGGATTATTTCTAGATAACTTACAGACATTACAAGAAGAAAGTTTCCCATCCAAGGAGGAATGATGGGAAACTTTCCTCTTTCTTATATCTACCTGCACCTGCTGAAAAACCTTTCTGGAACATTCAGGGAGGGGAAGGGCTTCCTGGACAAAGTGGGATGGAGCACCAGGGACCCATGGAGAAAAGAGAAACATCCAAATCATTGGACCTCTTCATCAGAAATATTGATTACATTTCTATATGAGCCAATAGCCAACACTAAAGAAAATGTTTCAGTTCAAGTTCACTGATCAATAATACTCTCCAGCATTCATACTTGTGGTTTCTCAAATCAGAAAGGTAGCTGAGAACTTTGGGCTTGTTAATGTACAGCTGATCATCAAGAACTTAGTCCATTCAGAACTGGATGCATTCTTATAGCCTCATGTTGCCAACGTATCTTTATTTGCATATGCTTCCTGGCCAACTGAATACAAGAAGCTAGTTCTCACAGATACAGTCATTTAACTGTGTGTTGCGCTGTTCAGAAAGGCTGATCCTTTGGAAATGCATAAAGAAAAAAAAAAAGATTAGAAACAGAAAGCTCCAGACACATGTTTGCTTCCAGTCAATTAGGAATGCAATCACAGCTTTATCATATCCTTACCTATAATGTCTCTCCATGCACAGCTCTGAATTATATTGATTTGTTATTGTTGTATAAACAACAATATTCCATCTCAGCAGCAATTTGACATTATAGTAAAGTAAATCAACTTTGTCATGAACCAAATAATATGTTCACATAAATCTGGCAATACTAAAAGCATAACTTTTGTTTCCACTTTGTTTTGGTGTTTGTTTTGTTTTGTTGGAAGCCAAAATAGAATAGAGTTGGAAAGGTCATCCATCTTATAAGACCACCAGGTCCAACTCCCTGCTCCACTTCCACATGTGGTCACCCATCCAACTTTTCAGCTTAGCAAAGGTAACTTGACATACTAGCTTGATATTTAGCTATGCAGGCAGGTGGGAGGACACTCTCTGTTACCCTTAATTTCAGCAGAAAATAAAATACAACTTTTTTCATGTCAAATCTTACTTTTGTGAAGTTTGATCATCTACATTTAAAAGTTCATGGGATATCAAAAATATTGGATACTTGCGATTCCTTTTCTCCAGTGAAATTTTTAAGTACTCACCATGAGCTTTTGCTGTACTTATGAAACACTATAATAAATGAATATCTGGGTCTGCTCATTTTGTAAACATGGTACAGACCAGATATTATATATTTGAACTAAACTGAACGTATTTTTCTGCAAAGTCAAAATGTAAACCAAGCCAATTCTTCCCTGCACTCAGTTCCAGAACTATCTTCTGTTTAGTATCTGGAGTAATAAAGTCACAGAAATAAATAGTTCATAGCACAAGAAAATGGAAGTTACAGAACTGAATGCTCTAGTACACGAGGAGTACCTTTTCCTCATCTGAAGCTGGAACCAACTCCCACAACTTCATGAGAGAAAATAACACTAAGCGAAAGGTGTTGCTTTTATTTATATTTGTTACACATGGTGTTTGTTGCATGCCTTGAAGGTGCTGCAAGACTCTGTGCTATGTTTGGTACAAGAGACTACGGCACGTCTGTGAGTCACTGCTACTTTTAAGAAGTGTGTCCTCTTCTTCTGGGTGCAAGTTTGACCCTGCCTCTATATTTCCAGAATTCAGTCACACTGCAGTCATATATCCACTTACGATTAAAAATGAGCAATGGGTTGTGGAGCTGAATGCAAATATTTGGGATTACTCTTGGTCATCCCAGGTGGTCATTCTGCAATAGTGAATACTTCAATCTATCATCACAAGTTTGAGAAAACTGGCCTTCCTCATTTTACTGTCAGTAGTGCCAAGAAGGATCAATCCTGTCCTGTCACAGTACACTTCTCAAGTTTCTGGCACGGTCCAATATTTTTTTTCTGATGTTTTTGAGCAACTTCAGTCCTAAAAGTTGGCATTTTATATATAATGGATTTTTCTAACCAGCCATCCAGACAACAAGCTCTTCACTGATTTAGGCTTTTGCAAACTTAAAAACAGATACCCAGATTTAGTTTAAAAATATAAGAAGACAATCAAATGCTTGCATCTTTTCTGTATAATATATTTTCAAGCGTTAAACTTGTGAGATTGATATTTTTCAAGATGTGTATATTTCATGGAACTCTGGACCTGCTTAAATACATTTTTAGAGATGAAAGGTCAACTCGTCTGGGCTGCAACCGGCCATGGCGGCCTGTGCTTCTGTATAAAATCTCAAGGCAGAAAGCATGGCAAGTGTCCCATTGGCTCACCACCTACAAGCCCAGCCTCACTTTGTACGGCATTGGATGGCGGGGTGCTGAGCTCGAATGGGGGATGCTTGGTCAAATGCATGCTGAGTCCAAAGTGGTAGTCCAGTTCCAGAATGCTAAGCCAATAATAAATTGCTCTCCATTACTAAAATGGAATTGCTTTGCGTCACCTTGGTTTCCTTGGCTAAATCAGAGACACTTACAGGCACAACAGAGTTGCAGCTTTTGTTCATAGTCAGCAAAGGCTCCACTTCAGCCTTGCGGTGAAAGAATAAGTGGGTGTACCATGCCCATGCTAGCCCTCTTTGCACCAGCATCAATTTACCCAGCATGCACAAAATGGTCTTCTGAAGAAATGATGGGAAATTAATTCTTGAAAGATGAAACCTCAAACTGGAGTGGGTGTCAGGTTCTGGCACCGTCCTGAGCGTAGACATGAAGATGAGCCAGGAAAGCAGCAGAGCCAATAAGCATACCATAGGATCATTTCCTTACTGCTTCAGCAATTTTTAATATACTTCTATGAAGTTTACTTTTCATATGTTTAGTCAGCTCCAATGGCTCAGCTTTTATTTTGGCTCCCACAGCAAAAGCAGTCCCATGGCTTGGCTCTGTCATAGGTCTGTGAACAAAGCAGGGGCAAAGTGAATGAAAAACATCCCCTCCTGCTCCTTTAACCAGGATGGGAAAAAGAAACATTCTCCCACACTTTGGGCAATAAAACATTTCATATGGTCTATCAGTAACAACCCCTACATCCTGTTCAAGCAAGACTGGTCTTTGTGCTACTGGTGACTTTGGCCCAGATCCTTGGGTGATATATGCTGATCCAACTATTCTGAAAGGAATGTATCCCAATGACTAATGACTATAACAGCTTATATACTGGAGTGGCCATATTCATAAGCCTAAGAGCTGCTTCAGACTTAGGTTTGCAAATGCCCAAGATGCTACACATCACTTAACCTCCGTCATGGTCCAGCCCTTAGAGCAATCCTCTTAAGATGACATCTTTCTTCAACATCCCATCTCTCCCTCTCCTCAGCACTTCTCCATGGTCCTGACTTTGCTGTCACATCCCTGCTCTCACCTCATCAAGTCCTCCACCTCCAACAGCATCTCCAACTCTGTTGTCTCTCTTTAGCAGGATCCAGGCTTGCCTCCAGTGAGGAAGGATCAACAAGCTGTGCAGGGATCCGGGAATTCTGACCAGAATACTGCCCTCCCAGACTATTGGTCAGTTGGGTGAATTCCTCTTATATACCATTTTTGAGGAACACAGTAGCCCTCTTCTGTCATTACACACACACAATTAGATTCCCTCCAGGGGAAGAATAGGGATGAGCCTGTTGGCCCTGCACCCTCGTTGTCAGGCCTAGGATGTGGGTGGCAGGATATAAGACAGAGGTACCAGGGGCAGGACAACAGAACCTGAGGCAAGTCAGAGTCCAAAGTCCAAAGGTTCTGTAGCAAGTCCAAGTCAACATCATGGAACAGTCTAAGGCCAGGGGCATGTATCAGGGCAAAGCATAGACAGAGTCATAGCCAAGCCAAGGGTCAAGAATCAGAAAGACAAACACAGATGCAGGTACCCTGAGGCAGGATGACTGGCCAGGGTTAGGCAAGGAGCAAGAGGTGGACCACACCACAGCTAGCAAGATGACCTGGATTTCTGAGGTAAGACAGCAAGGTGGGAGCCGGGGCAAGCAAGATGCAGGCACTGCAGCAGACAGGAAGGCCTGGGCTGCTTAGCCATGTTATGGAGGAAAGAGTTTGCTTCTCAGTTGGCAGGATACAAGACAGAGGGCACACATCAGAAGGCTGAGTGCATCTGCAGGACCAGAGACTGATCCTGCAAATTCTGAGGTGAGCATTCTAGCTCTGACCATCAGGTGAAGCCCCAGAGCAGCCCAGATCCTGACAACAGTCCGCCTCATCAGTCATCTTGGGCCGGAGGAGTAACTTCTGCAATAGAGAATCACGGGAACCCTGAAATTCTAGGGCTGCAAAACATGTGAAGACCCTACATGGGTAGCAAAGTGTGGCAGGAGCCTACACAAGTACAGCAGGCTCCCTGCTGCAGACATTCAGCATCCGGTGAACCTGTAT